CATCGATAAGGTATCTGTCAATAGTTTATAGTGAGGATAAGAAGAAGACATGAGCATTAGGGAGTCTTGCTAAAGAGTGTTTAAATTAGGAAATATTCATAAACACATTTCTAGTGATACGTAAACTTTTGTTGACAAATGTATAGTAGTATGTAAGATGCAATGACAGTTACCTCAATTTCTGCCTCTCCTAGAGGTACCTTGTTCTTTAACTCGAACAATGAGATTATGGGAGGAATTTTGCGTCGAAGGTATCCAATACGCTCCTCTGGGCTGTATTTAATGATATCGATGGGCAATCTGTTCTAAAAGAACCTAGAATGTTTTGTTTGCTAGATCAGTAAGTTGTTAGATGTAATCCTCATAAAATGGGATTTGAAAACATAAAGGTGCAGTAGGGTGCCTATTCATAATAGTTTTGGTCATTTCATTGTACGGATGTACAATTAGGCGGCTTCCAGGAGATGTTACGAAATAGAATGGTGGAATATGAGCAGATTCGGGCACATTTTGGGTAAGTGTTGTTGCTGTCACAATCAGAGGGAAATGAACTTCTGTGACCTTAGTACTTCGAATGAATTCTTTAACTCTTGTGCCAATATAGCTCACAAGGCCCTTGTTTCCACTATAGAGTTGGACAACATATTAAAAGTGGCAATTCAGACTAATTTGTGACTCAGTATAACATAAGAGTAAGTATTTATAGACCATACCTCATGTCTTCAAGATGAATTTGTAACATTGATATCTCTGAATTCACTCTAGTTGGTCTGGTGATATGTGTTACACATCCTGTAATATCTGAATAATGAATTCATTTGAGCTATTCAGTTTTATGTGTCACACATTCTATGATGTATATAATATAAATAGATTTCATATTAATTTGTTAAATAGTGTATCGATTTCAAGGGGCCGAGAATAAAGAATGAATACCTGAATAGCATACTGGAAGACTTATAGAAGGAGCAGTGACATTGAAAGGAATCTGTAGAAAAGAGTTATCTGGAAAATGCATGGTGCTGCGATATTCAAGCATTTTTTTAAAGGAAACCTGCTCTGTGAAATACAACCTCAAATCGGAAGGTGCAGTGCGGCGCTCAGATCTAGCCGGTATGACATTTGGGTTTATGATGGTATAGAGACAACCAATTTGAATGCTCTTGCAAATCCGCTCAGAATCTTCATAACATACACTCGCTTCCATAAGTTGTCCCTAAAGGAGTATAAATGCGAAAAATGTGCTTATTAGATGTTAGTTGTTTAAAGTATAATTAGTAGGTGTCAAATGTTTATAAATATACCTCTTTATCTAACCAAAGCATATGAACTGAGGTAGTAGATGTATTTCCATCAGAGTCACATTCTGACCATATGTTTAATAGCCGAGCCATAAGGAAATGATTGTTTGTTCTAAGAAGCAGTTTACGAAAAGTTGTGGACTGAGTCATCACATCTAAGAGTAAAAGGGTGTCAAAATGCACGCATAGATGATATAATTATATAATGAAACTGAAAAACTAACTGTCGATGTACCATGTGAGTCTTTCGGCAGTATTTCCCCTGCCATTGCCGCCCAAAATAGGTAGCTGGCCTTTTATAGTTTTCTGTGGCAGGAACAATTTCTTTCTTAAACTGTGAAAAGAAACAAAATGCAAAAAGTAGAAGGAAGATAGAAAATAGGAACTGCAGAACGAATGTATAGTACTTACCGGTGTGTAGTTTCTGGATGGGGCCAGATGAGAGAGATGGGGGACCGGCAAGGCTGCGATGAAGAACATTCGTTTTTAGGGTTTCTGGTGCGGCAAAAGGAGGATCTGATGGAGTGGAATAATGCGAGTATTTTTATTACCAGTGGAAAGAAATAGTTTAATCGGAGGGAAAATGTTGATTAGTTTATACGAGCCATTGTTTTGCGAGTGCTGGTGAAAGTGGCAGCGAAAAATTAGCTGGGCTTGCCACTTTAGGGCCGTTTTTTTGGCCAAAATTGGGCATATCTAAAGTCCTATCAATTTGTGTAGTATATTTATGAGAATGGGTAACCTAATGGAAAAGTATGGGTTTTTTTTTCGTAATCACAAAATGGTTCACGATGTTGAGTTTGTAATGGGCTGTTTATTATGGCCCTAGAAAAAAATTGTAACAGCAGGAATTTGTGTATTTGCAACTATCCGTTGACATTGCATTCAAATCCGTGTTATTTGCAAGCATCGGTCGTTAACAAATTGGTGGCTATTGTGAAATGTCAAATAGTTACATAAGTAAACGGTGTAGTGAAGGTAAATCTAAGGGAACGTGTTAACGCCTTTCCGGATGTGTTGTGCAACATTGCCAACATGGTTACTTAACAAAGGGGTGGTTCAAGTATTGGGAACAAAAATGAACAACAAAAGAGGGAGATTCGATACGAGTTAGAAAGTAAATTCGGAAAAAGGTCATAGGAAGCAATATCACGTGCCTAATTAGGTACATAAAGGATTTTTTAGGGGAACATGAAAAAGGGACCATATAAGTTGATAGTGCTGTGAACACCTAAGTAACAGAATTCTTCTACAGGGCAATGTTAGGAATTATGGTGCACAATGGACTCTAGAGAGTTTGAACAATCATTTGGTGGGTTATGTCTGGATTGCGAACATAGATCTCGAAGTTAAAAAGTGCCCCCTGTACTCTTTCAAGGATCCGTTCCTTGGCAGGCCAATCAAGTTTAGTAAAATCTTCAGCAGTGATTTTGAAAAGTGCATGTGCTGCTGCATCACCAAAAGCTAAATCGCATGTTTCCCTCATGTCAATACAACGGACGATTGGGCAGAACCTGAACAAATGCGATAGCATGATGTGACCTATAAAGATGTATTGCTGAACATACCCGTTCTTCTACACAAGGAGAGTACAGTGTCATGGCCACTACAGTTACTAAGCATGATGGATTTTAGCTAAGTCCATTGTTTGATGGATTTGGGTCATGGATTTGGGACTCAAATCCCAAACATGATGGATTTTAGCTAAGTCCATTGTTTGTTGTCAGGTGTTAAATCCGTGGGGTCCACGGATTTGTTCCCTTTTTTGGATCCAAATCCGTGGACCCCACGGACTTGTAAATCCCACATATTGGGGTGGGATTTGTAAATCCTTGATGGCTAGTTATATTTATAGCAAATCCATCATAATTATATCATCAAATCTATCATGCAAACAATAGACTCTTCAAATCCATGATGGTACAAATCCCTCATAAATCCAAAGATTTTTTTGAGCCAAAACCCTCATTTTTCAAATCCAACAAGCAAACGACCCCTAAGGTGTTTTGGTTTTGCTGGTTACTTTTTGAACTTATTGTTCCCCAGTTTTGTCTTATTACTCTCTACTATGATAATCATGCTACTCATCACCTTGCCTCTAATCCAGATTTTCAGAAGAGGACCAAACATGTTGAGATGAACGACTACTTCGTCCGTGAGCATGTTCAGTCTCGGGACATTCAACCGTCCAAGATTCACACTTTTGAGCAGTTTGTCGATATCTTCACTAAGGCTCTAGGTATAAATCATTTCATTTGTTGCTTTCCACACTGGGCATTTCGAATATTCACGTCACAACTTGAGTGGATTTGGAGAGGAAAGTTACAACATGGGAGACAATTCACAATCGTGACTCTCACGATCTGGTTGTGGCCTTTTTTTCCTGTCTCGGTCAGTTTGGCGATGTCACGGACTCGGAGGGAACTCTCAAGGGCAGGCCGTGACATTCAGTTTGGGTTCTGGACAAAATTGAATGTTATCGTTGAAATGTTAGAAAGTCACGGTCGTGACCTTCACTCGGATTTGGGGTTTATAGGTTTGTTTCCTTATTTGTGGACATTGGTCATTGGTTGATGAGTCACAACCTAGCTATTGCAAGAAATAGCTATTTCTATGTCATTTTAAGAAGTTGTATCTTCTTTCCATGCAAGATAAAAAAAATATCATTAAGAGAAAACAAAAGGTCCTTACGGAGTTTTCCGTGAAGTAGTCTCGTTGATTGTTGTAAGGTCGGTGACATGTCGGACGGTACAATCAGGTTTAACCGATATCAGTCACAAAACAGCTGGAACGCCCCTGGTTATTATCGGACGGTACAACCAGGTTTAACCAATATCAGTCAGGACGGTACAACTATGTCGATTTGGTTATTAATTATTTTTTTTATTTGTTTCTTTAATTTGAAAGTTAAATGTTGATGTTGTTTTTTGGATTCAAGTATGAATGTTTATGTTATTTGTTGGATTCAAGTATCAATATTTAGATATTGACGTTAAATCTTATATTTAAATATGACTATTTTCATTTGATTTGGAAAATTATTTATTATTTAAATATGAATGTAGATTCTAGAGAATCTTCTAAAATGTTATATATATATATATATATATGGCGAATTTCGTAACTTCTAATATGTTATAGATATGTTGAAATTCATATAGTGTTAATGATTTCCTACTTCTCTACATGTTTTACCAAAATCGACATGACCTAACATAAATCGGTTATATTACTGGTCGGAGCATACCACTTGCCAAATCGGCATAACGCTATAAACCGATTTTACAATCTTGATCTCGTTCGAACAACATAAGCACTTGTGTCATTTTTCTCTTATATTCGTATTTATCAACTTGCAAGGATGAACTCAATTCCTCATGAACAAAACTTAGATTCTCAAGCCTATTTCAATCTTCGTATAACCGAGTGGATATCGTGTGTCGTTCTAAGAGTTTTGAAGGACCAAAGGAAGTTACTTTAATGGGAAAGAAGAAAAGAAAAACATTAACATCAGGTCATGGCCCATGGGTTCCTATGTGTTAGAAAGAAAACAAGAAAACAGTCGCAGAGTAATCAGTTTAATGAAAAGTGGTGGTGGGGAGAGGGCATGGAAAAGGAAACGGAAGCAGAAAGACTTCCTTCTCTTCTCCAAGTTCTCTGACTCACTTCTCTCTTGCTTTCTTTATTCTCCTTTAATATCATTATCAAGGAATTGATTAATACTCCCCAAGCAAAGCAGTACTGTAACAGAGAGCCACACAGACCCATAATTGTACTGCCTGCTAGCTGCTGCCTGCTGCTCTGCTCTGCTCTGCTCCAACACAAATCCAAACGCACCCAGTTTCCATTCTTCCGTTTCCTTTCCGACTTCACTTCTTTATTATTGTGTGAACAGAAGAAAGGATCCAAATCCCATTATTATCACCACCACCACCTAACTCCTTCGAAAATCTTCCATTAACCTTACTCGATCCACTTTTCACCCATCTCCCCCCTCCTATGGGAAGAAGAAGAACAACAACAACAAGAAGAAGAGCCTGCTGATTCTGCTTCTGGGTCGGTCTCTCTCTTTCGTTTTCTTCTCCTCCTCTCAAAAAGATGCAAACTTTAAGCAGTACCCAGCTGGAAAGGGAGAGGGAGCATCATTTCAGCCGCAGCAGCAGTGACCTGTCATTTGGGGAGATTGGGGCTCACCGGAACTCCACCGCCTCCGATGGCATCTCCGACTTGGATTTGGAGAGTGGGGAATTGGAGCTGAAGGTGCATTCCGCTGATCATAATAATGATAAGGCTGCTGCTGCTAGAGATTGCAGGATTTGCCATTTGGGCCTGCTGAGTAATGAGCATGAGAGCGGGGTGGCCATTCAGCTGGGCTGTTGCTGTAAAGGCGATCTCGCTGCCGCTCACAAGAAGTGCGCCGAGACTTGGTTCAAGATCAAGGGTAACTTGTAAGTCTGCAACTTTCTTCTACTAACCAACTCCATAAAAGGGCTTGTTTTCGTCCTTTTTTCTGGAATTGAGGCTCTCTTGTTTTGGTTTGATCCAACGCCAAGTTCAGCTTTTTCTGTCTATAATTGGAATCATGAGATCTTCTTAGATTGTTCTTTGTCTGATTCGCACGGCATAACTGTGGAATGTACTTTTCTCCCACTTCAGCAAAGCACTTGAGATTTAACTAGGCAGCAAACGCAGCCTTCCACTATAAAAAGTGGATTACTACCAAAAGCAAAACCAACAATCAGAATGCTATTTGTGGGGCGGGTTTCTACAGTTATATGGCATCTTTCTGCCCTATTTCCCCCTTTTTCATGTTCTTTAAGCAAAGAATTGATTTGGATATAGGGGGTATTCCCTCTCCATTCTCCAATGGAGAATCAGATCACAGCAGATCGTCTGGTTTTGCCAAATGTGAAGAGACAAAGTTTCCACCTTACATGCTTAGTTAGTTGTGGCTGACAATACCCTACTTTTACATTGAATGTTCTTCTGTAACTTGTAATTGTTGATACGTTTTGTTCTTCCTGCTGCCTTTCCATTGTCATTATCCCTGTGCCTCTTGCGGAGGAGTCAGATGGGGAGGAAGAACTTTACAGAAAAATTTAAGTGAGGAGTTGGATTATAACTGAGCACTAGCAAGCTTTTTCTTTTGTGGAATCAAAATGTGAAATGCTTTATAATGGCCTTGCTTTTTTCTCCAAGACATGGTGGTTAGCCAGGCAGGATGGTGTATGTTCAAATGCAAGTCGAAGCACCTTTCCTTTTAAGGCAAGCTGAGAGACCCTTTTCCCAGTACAGCACTCATAGGCTGTGCAGACAAGTTTCAGTTGAGTTTGAAATTGGTGCAATGGGATTTGTGGTAATCCTACACAGTAATCCATCAGCGATCGTCATATTGCTGTGATATTGAATAAAAAAGAAAACGCTTTGAATCAATGTTCTGTTTGGGGGACCAGGAGAAGGAAATGACAGCAAGTATATAGTTGACTAGTTGTGTAGATTTTTTTCTTATACCAATGAAGAGCTTCTGGTTGGCAGAAGTCTCCCCATTTACCATGTTCTGAATGTTGCGTGAAACTAAGAAATCCCACTTGCAAAAACTTCCCATTTGAAATGTAACACAAATTCGTTGTGCAGGATATGTGAGATCTGTGGTGCTGCAGCCGTTAATGTTGCTGGGGAGTTGACAAACATGGCGTTCAATGCAAATGCTGCTGCATCAGTACCCGCAACAGCTCCAGTAGTTCTGGTGGAAGCCAGGCCGGCGTGGCATAGCCGCCGTATTATGAACTTCCTACTCGCTTGCATGGTTCTCGCCTTTGTTGTTTCCTGGCTCTTCCATTTCAAAATTCTTCCATGAGTCCACATCCCAAAACAGAGGGGAGTTGGTAGCTAAGCTAGGCAAATCTGCAAATTATTGTTGTGTATTATGTAAAAAGCTAGAGGGCATCGTGTATTGATTGTTTGTATTATAGTTTCAGGCCTAGATGTAAGAGTCCCAAGCACTCCTCATTTTCGTATATTCCGATTTGAATTTTTCGACATTAGAAATCAAAATTGAAGAGCATAGCTTACTGTTGTGTCCAAAATTTGCCTTCTTCTCAAGTCAAAACCTGGAGAAAGGATTCTGATCTCTGGGATCTACATCTGGTAATGATTTACGATAGAAGACTCTGACAAGCAATGTGTAACAAAATACAATCAAACATGATATGATTGGCAATGGTCATTGTCATTTTTCAATCCGAAACGCTCTAAGTTTCCATTTCTGAGTCACTCTTTGTTTCCATTTTTGTGGGATTGTTCATTCTGAAGTCAGTAACAGCCTTGTCCAGAGTTCCCCTCACATGCTGGCACATTAGCATCAAATTCTGGCATCCATCCTTCAGTACCTCCCTTGCTGGCTCACCTGCATAATTCCCATCCCAAAACATTCTTACTCATAACGAAACACACGTTAATAGTAGAAAAAAAGAAGTCACTCTTGCCACATATTCTTCTCCTGGAACAGATGAGCCCCTGTACTTTAACTAGAGAAGCTACTTTGGTCCAATCACAACAGTTATTTGAATCTTCTAGGTGAAATACAGATCCATGACTAAAGAAGAGTTTGAGCTAACATGAGATAGAAAACAGGAAACGAACAGCAGACCCATTTGTAGCAAGATACTAAACAAGTTGTTGCTCCCCCAAGATTCTGGCATGAAATCAGGATACGAAGAAGAAACGGGAATTCCACAGTAGTACCTGTAGTTTGAATTCTAATGTTAACACGAGCATCTGAGGGATGAGGAATGCTGTAACCACAGACTGATACCCTTGGACTGCAACAGTAACACATGCGGGTGAGCTCATCACATAATAAAAAGAAACAACTTTTTCAGAGCAATTGGAAGTAGTTAAGGGAACACGGACTCTTGATTCAAGCAGAATCGGACGGAATTTGCAAGTGTGTGGTCTTCATCAACAAAAGAGAAGGTTGCCTTGCTTGGATCATTCAGAGAACCGTGCTCCATTTCTCTACGATTTCCAGCAACACACATCAATCAATCGCCCTCATAATAGTACAATAAAGATCAAATTGAACCCACAAAAAGAAAAAGAAGGGCAGGGCAGGGCAGGGCTCCATCGATGAAAAAGGGGAAAAGAAGAGCGCCTTTGATACAACCATTCACTGAAAACTACATCAGCATCTTCAACTCAAAATTTTGTGAACTACCCCCCTCCATGATTTTGATACAGTCTCACTCTGCTAGCTCCCTCACGGTTTTATTCATTAAGACAGATTCTTGATGAATTCCTCCATCTCTGCTGGCTTAATTCTAAACCCACAATTAGCAATCCCGCCACCACATGCAGTCCAAGTCCCCAGTAAATCTCAAACCAAACATACCCAACAGAAGTACAGAACTCAATAAATAATCAGTACCTGCGGAGAAGGAAGAGTGACCGACGGATAGGTAACCGGCCGCAGGCGGAGTCTGCTCTGCTGGGAGAAAAACGAAGTCCGGGAACAGGGAGAGAAGGGTCGAACCGTTGAAAGGGTTTTAGCAATTATAGGGTTTTGTTTTCCAATTTTCTTCGTTTCCTTTCGATTTCTTTTGTATAAACGACAGCGTTTTTAACGCTAAGATTTTTATTTCATGGTAAAGCCTTTTACTTAGTGATGGCCAAGGTTGTCAACCCGTGGGTTGACCCGGACCCGGTCGAGTTAGTGGGTCAAGGGTTAATGGGTCAATCGTTTTAGCCCGGTTTGGCCTGGAAATATAGAAAGAGTCATTATATTGTACTTATCCTCATAAATTATATCAAATCTTATCTAACATATGAGTTATAACATATAATATTACACCAAAATAACATATCGTACTTAGATCCAACATATAGTGAAAATTCACACACACTTATATAACATAAATATTCAAATGTTCAACTTAGTATTCCAAAGATTGAGTTAGGCGAAAAGAAAAATTGGAAAATAGGCGCATTTCGCAAACTAAAGAAAAAAAATGACACAATTTGACCTCCAACCCGGTACCTTATAGCGGTCGGCCCGACGGGTATGTGCGACCTGTTTTTCTCACCAGGTCAAGGTCAAATTGGGTCGACCCGTGGGTCAACCCACGGGTTGACAACCTTGGTGATGGCAATGGGGCGGGGCGGGGCGGGTACCTCAATTCCCATGCCCCGCCCCACGCTACTACGGGTCGGGGCAGGTAAAACCCGCACGGGTACGGGGCGAGGCGGGTCGACCCACTCTTACATGTTGTTCAAAAAAAATACAAGTAAATTTTACTTTTGGGTTAATTGCAAGGTTGCTCACTGGGTTTACTAAAAACATTCATGTTTAGTCACTGAAAATATTTAATTTCATTCATGGTCACTAAGATTAGTTCAATAGTTCAAATTTTGTCACTCTCCGTTAGCCTCCGTTAGTTTTTGCTGATGTGGCAGTCAACTATTATAGTTGACCGTTAAATGAGTGGCGTGGCCATTAAAAAATATTAAATAATAAAATTAAAACATTTACAATTTCCACATCATTCTGCAACTACTAAAAATAAAAACTTAATTCCTATTATTCTATAAACACCTAATATTCAGAACCAAGAATAATTCCGCCGATGCCTCTTAGCGGATCTCGACTACTTCGAATTCCTCGATCTGCTCCGGCAAAGGGTGCTGCTGAATCCAGTTACCCGAGGGATTGAAGACGATGGACTTTGGGTTGGGCACCATCCGAAACCACAACAAATTGGTCCAAGCCATTCTGCAACAACTGAATGCAATCCGTCGCACCCTATTAGAACCTGCAATTACCATAGAAATTAAGAAGGTCATTAGTTGGCTGGCTGCGAGGATTTGGAGGAACAAAGGATATGATAGACATCTTGGGGAACGAACAAAAGGTCTCTTACGAGAAAGCTCTGGGAGGCAGATTTGCCGGACCGCGCCGATGGCTACATCGGTGATGGAGCCGGTTGTCAGAGGAGGGTACAGTGGAGTGAGCTTGTGGGATACTCCTAAGGCGTCGAGAGCAATCCGAGCGTTGGGGAAGAGATTCACAGCGGATCCGGTGGTTCTGAATAACCAGAGCTCGGATCCCAACTCGCTTCAGTGCCAGAGCCTGCTATCTCGGGCAAGGCGGGTGTTGCGCTCTCGAGGACGCGGTGGTTCTGAGGAGTTACATCGGGAACTAGTTTGTGGCGAACGGGGCCGAGATTGCGTTAAAAATAAAGATAAAAATAATAGGATAGGTGTAGGTGTTTATATAATAATAGGAATTAAGTTTTATTTTTATTTTTTAATAGTTGTAAAATGATGTGGAAATTGTAAATATTTAAATTTTATTATTTTAATATTTTTAATGGCCACGTCACTCATTTAACGGTCAACTATAATAGTTGACTGCCACATCAGCAAAAACTAACGGAGACTAACGGAGAGTGACCAAATTTGAACTATTGAACTAATTTTAGTGACCATGAATGGAATTAAATATTTTCAGTGACCAAACATGAACGTTTTTAATAAACCCAATGACCAACCTCGCAATTAACCCTTTTACTTTTTACAATAAAATGTAGGGGAAAACACTTTAAGAATGAAAAATATTGATAATAGAATGGATAATTGAGCCTAACAAGTTGAAAGATCGACTCTAACTAGTTGAAGAAAAGTCAAAATAGGAGAAATATGTATAGATATTGTAAGAAATTGAGATAAAATGAGTCTACAACGGGGAGGGCGGGGCAGGACGGGTCGGAAGTAGATACCCATGCCTCGCCCCACGCTACTACGGGTCGGGTAATACCCGCCCCATCGCGGGTCAGGTCGGGTAATACCCGCGTGGCGGGTTGAAATTGCCATCACTACTTTTACTTGCCTGTCATTAGGGATGGCAACAAAATCCGAACCCACGGGTACCCACCCGACCCAACCCGGTCAACGCGGGTAAAATCCGTGTTGACGGGTTTTGGGCCGGGTTTGGGTTTAAACCCGTTCACTATTCACCAGGTTGGGTTGGGTTTGGGTTTAGGTAAACCTGGCCCGTGGGTACCCGCTCACCCATATAATTAATTTTTTCGGTATATTTAATATTCTAAACAACTAATCTTATTTATGTTTGTGGAGACATGTCTAATTTTTTCTTTTTAATTGTGTAGAATGAAGTTGATGTTATGGAGTGGAGAGTAAAGAAACTTAATTGAAAGGAAGAAGCTTTCAATTAAACATGTTATTTATGGATAATTTATGATTAGCTTCAATTTTCTTGAGTTTTCTAGATTGGTGTTGAACAATTTGTATAGTTAATTTGTGATTTGCTTGAATTTTCTAGAATGGTGTTTTATATATGGATAATTTGTATTGAGAGATTGATATTTGACTTTAATTTTGATAAGAACTTGTAATTGTAAATTTTTTACGACAAAACCCGTGGGTACCCATGAACCCGCGGATACCCAACGGGTTGGGTTGGGTTTGAGTTTTTCAAACCCAGTGGGTTTTGCCCCGGGTTTTTTTCAAAGATAAACCCATGGGTTTGGGTTTGGCAAAACCCGACCCAACCCGACCCAATGCCATCCCTACCTGTCATCCTCTCACTCTCAGTTAGGGATGGCAATCAAACCCATGGCCGCGGGTACCCGACCGCCCCATACCCAGTCAACGCGGGGAATCCCCGCTTTGACTGGGTATGGGGCGGGTATGGGTAAAACCCGCAAAAGGTTTGATGGGTATGGGGCGGGTATGGTTTTAGCCTCCCCACCTCATACCCGCCCCACCAAGAGAATTTCTTCACATATCAAAAAATACGTGGATTAAATTGTAATCTATCAATGATGATGATGATAACTCGAGAAAATAAATAGTAGAAATGCCATTGAGTAACCACCTTAATCAAAACCTAATTCATTTCCCTCAATTCGCCTTCCATCTTTCACTTTCCCCCTTGTCAACGAAATTATGCTAGTTAATTATTACTTAGTAAATGTATCAAGAGTTAGAGCATAATAATTTAAAAAATATTATAGTCTATATTATGTATTAATGGATGTTTTAGGATCATATTCTTTGAATCGTATTTAGAAAATGACCGTGTTTTGTTGACTTCGTGATATAATAGGTTTGTTTATGGTTATAATTAAATCTTTTCTTGTAAGTTTTAGGTATAATAATGTTGGATGTACGGGGATGGGTATTACCCATGGGTACCCGAAACCCACGGGTATGGGGATGGGTTTGCAAAACATTCCCCGCATGGGTATGGGGCGGGTATGTGTTTGCGTATTTGAAGATGGGGATGGGGATGGTTTAGGCAAACCCGCCCCAAACCCGCCCCATTGCCATCCCTACTCTCAGTGGCTAGTTTGCCGTGCAGCATTGAGGCTAGGTGTAAAGCAACGACTGGTCGTTCTGAAGTTTGAGTAACAGCCCAGTGATTTTATCCAATAAATGTAAACTCCGTCTTCGTCGCACATCCTAAACCTAAAACCCTAGCGGGAATTGCTTTCTTATTCCACAAACACAAAGAAGGGTTTTCTTTTTGGCGGTGAATCTGACGACCGCGGGATCCCGGTGACAAAGCCCTAATCTTCATTCGTCCGAAACCGCCATCGAGAATCAGGTTCAATTTGAACTTCTTGATTCTCTCCGTGCCTTTGCTTCTGAAAGCGATTGCATTGTCAAGGTTTCTCAGTACCAGTAGCGTCTTTGTTGTTTCAGGTTCTAATGGCTGCCAACAACAGCCCTCTCCCCGATGGTGTGACCAAAGAACAGGTAAACCACCGCTTCTGGCTCGCTACCCACTCCAGTTTGTCTTTAGTGCGGCTTATTCCGACTGATATTGACTGTTAAGCTCTTCTCGTTCGTATCTTTAAATTGTATAATTTTTGCCATCACGATGAAAGAATTGTTACTAGCGGTTCTGTGATTTGCTGTTGTCATTCAGTTACTTGATTTGGTTTTTATGGATATATGGTAGGTTATGATTTTTGCTCGTACATTTGGGTTTATGCGTACTCGATTAATTTTAGTGTTCGTTGGAAATTTGTGTGTTAGGCCTTTGGCATGGCGGAGACTGAGATGGAATACAGAGTGGAGTTGTTCAATAGGTAAGCTTCTGGACCCAAGTCGCTTTCATGAACGCCTCTTCATTTATCTGTTGGGGTTTGTTGACTTTGCAGTGGAATGTATAAGTATGAGCAATCTTTCTAGTGTAATCATCTAAGTATTTGAACATCTCTGCCCGAATTTTGTAGGTTTAGATTATAGTGTTTGGGTTCATGTCACTTTCTGTATGGACAATGTCTGAAACGTACTCGTCTTGATGTTCTTGTCGGTCTCTCTGATTTTTTATGTTTGGTGTTTGAAACTGATTTATGGCCTCCTTGATCACTGTATCGTGGTAGCTTTAGAGTGCTCTTGCATAGTTCCATTGTATGTAGTTGCGTTTTCCCATGGCTTTGTATACTTGAGCTGTGAACCCTTCGATGTGAACCCTTTAAAATGATTTGTTCAGAAATTGCCTTTAGATGCATGCCCCCTCCCTGTCCGCATACTAACTTCTGCGTATTGGCCAGTATTCTTATTAAGCTCTAAATCAGTGAAGGCGGAAATGCTTGACAGATTGAGTAACCCTATTTTCATTTCTTGTTTCAGGCTTTCACAGACATGCTTCAGTAAGTGTGTTGACAAAAGGTATCCCGACCTTTTCATGAATTTGTTTCTTGAATTTGCTCGTTCTTCCCTTGGTTTACATCTCAATTTATTTAGCAGTCATTCATCTGACTTGGCTATAACAAAGAAGGTGCTTCCCTGCAATTCAGGTACAAGGAGTCTGAGCTGAACATGGGCGAGAATAGCTGCATTGATCGCTGTGTTTCAAAGTATTGGCTGGTGAGCTTCTATCTTCATCTCTGGGATTCTGTCATGTTCTTGTTAGCACTTCCCAACAAATATTATGTCGTCTTGAGTTCTTTATTGCTTCATTGAAACTTGCATTTTATTTCCACTCTAGCTTCTTATGGTCCTAACAATGACGTTGGCTACTCTTGCAGGTGAACGGACTTGTTGGTCAGATGCTAAGTGCTGGTGGTCAGCGTCCCATGTGAAATGCCAGAGCTTAGCTTGATATCTCTGGGCCTTGGAATTCTGCGAGGACACCAAACCATTTATGTTTTTTTTTTTTTATCTTGTTCCGGATATATTCACTGTAAGAACTAGCGTTACTCTGCAAAGAATTCCTAGATATTTTCTGCGTATAGTGAATAGGGAAGCCATTTTTGGGCTGATCTTGTTCCAGGCATGATGTGATTGTGGGTTGTGGTTATCACATAGTGCCCTGCCCCTGGTGGATTTTCATAATAAGATCCTACTGATTCACTAATCTATATTTAGTATTTACTTTTCTACTAGTCTCGACTGACGATTTACTCCCTAAATCCATGAACCCAAATGCGTCTATCGCCTACTTTTCTAAGGCTTAAATAGAATTAGTAGAACCTGAATTCTAAATGAGAACCCTAAATCCTAAGTTGTGATCCCTAAACCAAAACCCCTAACATTTGAAAATTGTCAGTAGTAAGAACTAAGAAAGAGAGATGGCGAGTGAGTTTTACAACCAATAGGTAAATGTTTGGATAACGTTTTAACTTCATGAGTTTAAACTAGAGCTTGCAATGAAGTTTCTTATACTCTAAACTCAAAGATCAAAGGTAAACTTGAAATTCACATGTCATCTAATCCACCTATGTTCCTGAACCACACTATCAAACTTTAAACGGAGTGATTGAGCTACATTAGCTCGTGAGCCTGACAAACCAAACAATATGGTTCAAACTAAAGTATTTAGTAAATCAAATATTTTGAGAGTTGACTCAATTGGCAACAGTTGATCATGGAATGGATTTTCCTCGAGCCCCTACAAACAAGAGACCGACGGTTCAAACTTCAACCATAGTCATTTTCGACTTCATCTATACAAAGTGGTTAACTAACAAAAATCAAACGAAAAGGATTTAATTCTGATTAACGAAAATCCTCGATATGATTATAATTATCATTTCTAGGGTTTTTTTTTGTCTTTCTAATATGTATCCTTTATAGGGTGCTTTAACTTTAATTAACACAAGACTCGAAACAATTTCCAGCCCTAACTTCCATATCAAGCAAAGCCGTACACCATTAGTATTTAATGACACAGCCAGCACATTGAAAGGAGAAGAATCACCGTCATTGGTCGCCTTTTGAACGACAACACATCTAATCCACCAGATTGCAACTTGAGCCATTAATAAATAAAAAGATGTTCAACTGTGGTGCCTCAAATTCTTCAATGCCAAAGAAAGAAACCTTTTGACATCAAAAGGCCAGCATCTGAAACGAAACAGAGCAAAAAGCAAAAAGGCTGTACACTTTTCTTTCTTTATCCTCTTCCTAATGTTTTCTGCCCTTGGTTTCTTTTTCATTTCCTACTATGCGTTTTAGCTTCCAAAGATGCGCCATCTTTCAAAGTCTCTTGTGCATCGCTGTCCATTCCAAGGCTGAAGAGAGCAGCAGCTTGGAGATAGAAAGCAGTGGACCACTCTGGAGATACAGACTGAGCTTGCATTGCGTCTCCAAGTGCCTCTTGCTGCATCTCCCCCACCAAATAGCACAGGCACCTCCTCGCGTATACCGTAGGGGACACCATCGTCCCGCCATCAATGAACTACATTCAAACCACAGATGAACACACAAGCGTTAATGCTTTTGGTTTCCCATTTTAGTGAAACAGGTACGCCAGGGAATAAATGAATGGTCTTCCAAGCTTCACGCTGTAGTTTTTACTGAAGTGCTAAGAAGTAATAACGACACAAGTACTGTACTTACTTGTGTATAACAGTCCATAGCTGTTGAGAAGTCCTTGGCTCGGAATGCAGCATCCCCACGCTTCTTACAGTTCAGTGTCTCCTGTATCTGATCTGTCCACATCTGGAAGGAAAGCTGCAAGTTCACAAAGGTATAGGGTTTATCACATTATTACTCGGTCGAGGGAAAAGGCAGAGCGCTGCATCCAACTCTATATGGATCATCAGTTCAACAGTGTGAACAACACCAGTTTGGTGATAGTATAAGAAGTGTAGAAAAGTATCTGTTAACATGGGGCAATATTGTCCTTGCTGATACTGTTGGGCTACAGATTCTAAGTGAAGTCAGTTATTGTCATTGTCTACCTCACAGCCTTGGAAAGAAATTAAAAGATTGGACATAAGCCACAGAAAGACTAATTTTTTGTCACACAGATCTGAATCAACTGAGAAAGTCAGCATCCAATACTGTTTACCAACCTCATTTGCAATGCCCTCATCATCTTTGTATCCAACCTTTTCAAGTATCTCGTGTATTGCAGTAAGATCCAGCCTTGAGCAAGCTTCACCTAAAGGCGACAATGATATCGCTTCCTGGGCGGCTTCAGTTCCATGTGGAATGCCCATTAGAGTATAGGACGGAACCTACCAAAGACAAGTAGGGGAGTCCAGTGATCTAATTTTAGCAGCTAAAAAGAGAGAAGCAGCAGTCATCAAATAGAAGAACATAGACCCAAGTATTATAGTCAAATGCTACTGCCCTGATATTTTGGTTAGTTGGCAATGTCTTATCTACAGCATGAGCCATGAGTGAAACAGTTATGTCATGAGGAACAACACCATGCTACAGCTTCTGTTGAAAATCTAGCCAGGGGGGAAGAAAAGGAATGCATACCTCTGTTTGCTTCTGAAGAGGGGCCAGTGCAGCCACAAGGGACTTTGCAGTCGGTCTCTCACGAGCTTCAAACTGTAAGCAACGTGTGGCTAATCGCACTAATTCGGTACCATCATCGTTAGAAAAATCACCTTCCAAGCAAGAGTCCATCAGCATCATATGATTCTTCCCTCGTATAAGATCAAGTGCCTGTAACCAAAGTAAACGGGGCAACACTGCGCAATTAGGATTTATCATCTTTATAACGACCCAGATAAGCAATAGAGCGAGATCCTCAAATACCAACTTTGAAGCACAGATAAGAACTTAGATACTATAATGGCTGGTGTAAACCATAGTAAGCTTACAGAATTACAGATGAAAGTTAAAATCTTGGTAAGGGAAAGACAATTACATGGCTTGGCGGTATATGCTTCCCACTAAGAAGATCAAGTAACAGGGTTCCGAAGCTGTAAACTACACTCTCTGGTGTTACTCTTCCTGCCACACAACCACAATACACATGGGTCAAACAAGTAACACGGGAAGAATGAGAGTAATGATTCAAAACAAACGCAGGTTCTCACCAGTCCTCAAATACTCGGGAGGAGTGAAGGCCAAGTTTGTACTGTAACTCTTGCCATCCCTGCTGTTCTTCATTAGACCAAAGCAGGAAAGCCTTGGATTACCATCCTGAGAAGTTCCCATCATCTCAGTACAACCGAACGAAATGGGCATGGCCAACATACGGAACCATAAAAGAGAGAAAAAGAAAAGTCATTTAGGAAAGAAGTGAAGGCTGCTGCTCAAAATGGTACCTGGTCAAACAAAACTCTGTAAGCATTGAGGTCGTGATACAGAGCTCGCCCCTTGGCACTGCAGTATTCTAGAGCCTGAGCTAGATAGAGGGCCACTCTCAGCCTCATTGGCCATTTCATATGCTGGTTCTCCCCTGGACCCATTTTGCACGCAGAAACGAAAAAAGGGTTTTTACAACAGCAGAATCGAAGTGAGGTCAAAATGGGATCGTCGTTGTGAAGCTTCTTACAGTGGAAAAGATGCTTGGAGAGGGTCTCATGAGGCATGAACTCGGCGACCAGCAACCTATCATCCCCGGCACAGCAACAACCCAACAAGTTGGCCAGTCTCTCGCTCCTCAACTGCCCCACGGCCTTGGCCTCTTCCTACGCCCAGGTCACAAACAGAGAGAAACCGCCGAATCGGCCAAGAAAAGTTCATTATTTATTCATCCTCATAAGAAACCCATACTTCAGAAAACAAACAAACAAACAAAAAAGAGAGAGAGGTGAGCAGGAAGAAATCAAAGAGGGGCGCACGAGGAATTGGCGAGAATCAGGCCAAGCGGACTTGTTGAAGCGTTTGACCGCGATCCATCGGTCTTCTCCCCTGAGCTTCCCCTTGTAAACCACATTGGGAGCTTTCTCGCCGTGCTCCGACACTATGTTGTCCGGACTGAACCCGGACGTGGCCGCTCGCAGCTGCTCCAGGCTGTACTCTTTAAAACCCGGCACCGCCTCCCCATTCTCTAAAGAAAAAACGGAATCAGTGGCGAAGATAAGAGAAATGCTGCAGCTGGGCGTACCACAGTTTCCCGAGAAAGTGATGGAAAATCTTGGGAAGGAAAGAAAGGAAAAAATTTGTAAAACAGAGTGACGGAGACGAACCGAGATCGGATAAGGCGTGGTGGTTGGGTTTGAGACGGGAGGAAGAAGGCCACCAGCAGAGCGAAAACTTGGAGCAACGACAACCCATTGTCCTTGCAATTGCAATAGGAAATGTGTGTAAGCTCTGAAGCTCAGACAGACTGCAACCACACTCACACAAACTGCTAGCTGTTTCTTATTTTTATTTTGGGTTGCTTCACTTTCTATCGTTTTCTCGGGGGAAAAGGAGGGAGGAGGAGACAGAGAACAGAGAGGTCGCCAACGTTGTTTGGCAAGCAAGAAAGTTGAAAAGAAAACTAGCTTTTTTGGATCCAACCCCAACCGGCCTTCTCTCTCTGCCCCTCACAAAATATTTTCACCCTCACTGAACCTGCATTCATCATTCTCTCGTTTTATGGCTTCCCGTTCCCTTCATTTCTTTTTCTTTTTAAAATTTCTTTGAAGATTTCGATTCTGCTTTTGGGTCTCTAAACCTACTCCCGTCCATGGCGCGTTGAACATACAATTCGGGGAGTGAGGCAACGCATGTCGACTCTCCAATACGGGCGCGTGGAGAGGGGTTAAAGGTAAAAAAATATAAAGTACCGCAGTAATTTTTTTGTTTTGTTTGGAGGGTAACAATTAGGACGTCTGTTTTTTTTATTTATTTACTATTTAGTTTTGACTGTGTTATTGCTGCTAGTTGAAGTTGGGTGGCGCGTGGAAGAAAAGAAATCAAGTATCGGCGGAGGGACGCCCGGGATTCATCGTGGGGTCAAAGTCAAAGGTAGGAAGAGAAGGAAAGAAAGCGTGAAGGGGATTTCTGTGAGAGCGAATAGATTAGTAGGTAAAGTGGCATTCATGGAATGAAAATGGTGGCCTCATTTACCATCTAAACCCTACTTTGGAATAGGTCTGCTTAATGCTTATCCATCATATTCTTTTTAAAGCTTAGTCTAAGACTCTTTTATAGAATGATCTAGGTTTTATTATTGATATTAGTAGTTTTGTGCTTATTGAGTTAAAAGTACTTTCTTCAATCTTCAATCTTAATGTCGGTATATGATAGAACAATGTACTATTACAAATGTTTGTTACAAGATGGGCCAACGCAAATGTTTGAATGTACAGAAAGCGAAGGAAGAGGAGGAGTTAAGTCGGTTATTCAGCTATATCAATTAATCAAAGGTATCGTGTTTATCTCGCTTGCACCTAGATCAATCGGAGGGGCATTTTGAGAAGAATTTTACGGGTATTTTGAAGCAAATCTGAGTTTCATTGTTGCCTCTTCTGTCCTCCATGAGACATATGGAACCAAGTTGACCTTCCATGGCCCACCTATGCATTCTTTCTTGATCAATGTGTCCTAATCTTGAATGCAAGGTTGTCAAATTGGATTAAGCAATCAAGACGGTTTGACAAGTGATTTGAGGTTTACTGGTAGGATCGGATTCAATCAGTTTAAGTCAATTTTCACATAATAAGTGAGAAAAAGTCTAATACTAAATAAATTATGCATATGCCATGTTTTAAAACAATCTCACTAATTTACATTCATATATTACCAAATTATTTCTTCAAAAGAAATTATATTACAATATTATCAATCCTCATCTTTAAACCTGATTTTTGTTGGTAAAATATGGTTTTCACTTTTTCAGACCCATCCAACCGAAGTGTACTCTAATCATTTAGATGGTCGATTCCGATTGAACCTGGTTGAATCGACCGATCGGACGGGGGGTTGACAACCTTGCTTGAATGTCGAGGAACTAGGTCTCCACATTCATATACATAACAAATTGATGATCCATTAGTTGTACTGGTTGTTTTAAACACAAATAAACCACCCTCAAGCCAACATAAGCATAACATGACATTATTCTTTTAGATGTCCGGATTATATCCATGGAAATCTAAAAGAAAAATATACCTTACCAAGGCAATGAATGATACAATGTTTCTTGATAATACATGGTGCATAGAAGACATCACTAGTGCTAAACTAGATCCTCCTTCTATAAGAACTAGACCAACTTAGTATTTGGTGGCACTTTAAGATAACATACAAACAAACCCTTGTCATTTTTATTTAGTCATTGGCTCCATAATAAGCGATCCACAATGAATAGTGTTCTACCATGAAAACATATGACACAAAGTGTAACATCGACGAATTTTGTTGTTTATATGTGTTATCTTTGACCTAGATCAAATCGCTCTAAACCTTTGATTCATCGACATAATCGTGTCTATAGATATGGATTCGTGAATGCTTATGTTTGGAGTTTGATACTTTCTTTTGATGTTCATCTCATACTCATTATTTACCATACTCGTAATGCATTATAAAGAACAAGAGAATACAATCATTAATATTTCAGTTTTCATAACAATATAACATTGTCCTGGAGTTTAATCGTAGATTAGTACTATTGTTTTAGGATGGACCAAAATCATGCTCATGTCAATGAAATGAAATGAAATCCACTTAGTCATGATAGTTGAAATTTCCTACCTACTCGACCAATACAAGAGGAGTAACCACCCCCTCTCTTGGATGAACCAATCCGACAACATTTTATTGGGTCCAATTATAACCATCTCATAGACCCACCTATCTCACATGTGTATACGGATGTCTTCATATAAACACAATGTGACAAATTGTCATATGTTGCATCACTAACCCCATCGGGCTACTCTAGTTGGTGTCACAAAACATATTTCAGTGTCACTAGCCTTGTGAGCTGACGGTAACTAAGTTTAGTTGACTTGTGTTACTAGGAGTGCTGTTGAGCTAGACTGAGCTAATGATGGTGACCTGGAAATTATGGAACCAAATGGTTGTCTGACGAGGCTGCAACTTGCAAGTCGAGCTCCTTGAAAAGCTGCACTTTCCTCTTCGATCCCAGCTTGTTCTCTCCATCTCAAAGCTTTTTTCCAAGGATTGATGGTGAGCCACATTTCCCTCCCTTTAGGGTTGGACTCTAATTCGAAATCCCCATTATAGAGCTTTTCTTTCACCCAAGTCTGGAAGAAATTTCCTCCGTCCATGTCGTCTCTGACCACAAGTCCACAACACTATCGAAATACACCATATGCCCGTCCCTAAGAACTAAAAAACGTTCCACAAAGAGAAAACAAAGGTTCAAAAAGGGAAAAGGTTATATTACCTTGGAAATCAACGAAAGGGGAGGAGTCCAGTGAGTTGCTGCTGGATCTTTTGAAGTGATCTAGTCTGACTCTATCAAAAACCACCCAATGGTCGCCCATTTTGGTTCCTTAATTAGTACAAACCACACCCAACCAGAATTATTTGGTCTGGTCCTAATTGAAACCATATAATATGTGATTTTGTCCCGTGAAATAATATACTATTTTGCCTGGTTTCTAATCGTTATTTTGGCCAAATAACAACTCAATTAATTGGGTAAACTTGATACGGTTTGATCTATTCGTACCGATTTCCACACCTAATAGGATGTAAATAGAACTTCAAGAAGAAGACTAACATGGATGGTCATGTGATTACCGTTCAAGGCCAACCAACACCAAAAGGTTTCGAGAAAATTCAAGGATTTCATCGAAATTCAAGGAATTGGTTATGAATTTTTTTTTTCTCTAGTGGCCATGATAAATTCAAATAGAATTATATTGGACATAGCCATATACCATGATTTTGAGCTAGAAAATGGGTATCATAACTTAATTCATAACAAGAAACTCCAGGAGGACGTGTATATGACCTAGCTAGATAGTTTTATCCTTCTAGGTTGTATGATAAAGTATTCAACGTGTAAAGATCCGTTCATGGATGAAGCAACCTTCTCAAAGTTGGAAGCCTTATTTGATGAACGAACAAAATAATTTGGTTTCATTAATAATAAAAATGAGCTTTGGGATAGATTGTGTAGCTGATTGGTTTCATAGTGCAGTTACATGCATCTTTGATAAGATATCTTTAGAGATAGATTGTGTAGCTGATTGGTTTAAGTCACAATATCAATATACTCGGGGTAGGATCAGGTGACTAAGAGGGGGGCCTTAGTCACATGACTAAGTCAATCTCAGCCCTTTCACCTCATTAAAATCTAATGGCTCTAATTAATCCAAATTAATGAAGGGCAATGTAGTAATTGTATAATTATTTTTATTTTTATTTTTTATTTTTCCACTGTCCCCTCCCCGTCCCTACCGCCGACTGCTTTTCCATCCCCTCCATCGGCGTGACAATTTTTCCGGCGAGGGAGCTTTTCCCGTCCCCGTCCCTTCCGTCGGCTGCCTTTCCGGCAAGGTGGAAAGTGGTCAGATGATGATGGGAACTCTAATGGAATTCCCCACTTCAATTACGAGAGAGAGATGCGGATGGATGTTGGGAATTCCCCACTTCAATTAAGAGAGAGAGAGAGAGAGAGTTTTTGTCAACTTTTCCGGCGACCAGAGACGGTGGTGGATGATTTTCCGGTAACAGTATTTGAGTTCGTGATGTTTGTAATGTTTATATTACTATTTTGTATACATTGTAATGTTTGTAATGTTAGTAATGTTTGTTTTTCTAGTTTGTATACTTTATGTTATGATTTATACACTTTCTATTCATTGATTTGTATTTGTAACTTTTGTTATTCAAGTTTGTATACTTTTATGTTATGATTTGTATACTTTGTATTCATTTGTTTGTAATACAAGTTTACCAATCTGTATTGTAAGTAGTGATATTCTGTACGTGTAGTATGCTTTGTACTGTTTGTAATGTTTGTTTGTAATGTTTGTTTGCAATGTTTGTAATGTTTGTTATTTTGTAATGTTTGTAATGTTTGTATTACTATTTTGTATACATTGTAATGTTTGTAATGTTAGTAATGTTTGTTTTCTAGTTTGTATACTTTATGTTATGATTTATACACTTTCTATTCATTGATTTGTATTGTAACTTTTGTTATTCAAGTTTGTATACTTTTATGTTATGATTTGTATACTTTGTATTCATTTGTTTGTAATACAAGTTTACCAATCTGTATTGTAAGTAGTGATATTCTGTACGTGTAGTATGCTTTGTACTGTTTGTAATGTTTGTTTGCAATGTTTGTAATGTTTGTTATTTTGTAATGTTTGTAATGTTTGTTGGTTTCTTTTGTATTGTTTGTAATGTTTGTTATTTTTGTCCACATGTTTGTCATTTTTGTCAACCATGTTTGTAATATTTTTTGCATCACAAATCAATACATATAAAGTATACAAATTATTAGTACTTACAATACAAAGCGACGTGATTTGCAGCACAAATCAATACATATAAAGTATACAAATTAATATTACAAAACATACAAACTATACAAATCATACTGACATTTTGTACAAAAATACTAACA